GTGGAGTCCATGGCAGTGGAGTGTCATGGCTTCAAATTTTATCAGGGAGCCCCAGTAGGGCTGTTGGGTAAGCATTAGACTACTAACGACAAGGCCAGCGGTTCAAAGCTACCAGTCGCTCCTGGTTCCCTGCAAGAAAGATGAAGGCAATGTGTTCTGGTTAAGGCTGTGTGCTCTGGCAAAGGTTGACAGCCTTAACCCAGCTTCGGGACACTATGAGTCAGAATCAATAGCACTGGGCTTTTGGTTTTATGAAGGATAACGATGTATTTCCAGGTAAGGAGCTGGCTGGAGGGGACTGTGGGGACAGCAGCCAACCGCATGTGACTTTCTCTTGCTGGTGACTTCCTGGCAGGGAAAGCAGGTGGTCAGATGGAAAGGCAGCAGGTCTTTCCCAGTCTTCTCACTTCTGATGGGAGTCTACCCACCAATGGTCAAGTTCAGTTATCAAGTCCGAAGCAGTGAAGAAGAAGAGGGCACGGATCCATTGCGCATTTCAGCGTGCATTCGTTCATCAAATGGCCTTCCCTTCCCCCTGCTGAGATCCAGTTACTAAGCGCACTGGAAATTTGTCTCTGCAGACTGGAGAGCATGCAGCCTGGGACATGATGGCAAGGTGTGGTCTGGGGCGGGGTCGCTCAAGCCAGGATGGGCACGTGGGCCCTGGGAAGTCTAGCGAGTGGTGCACGAAAGTAGGAGGGGCAGCATGCTAGAGAACCCGGTTCCCTGCTGAACAAATAGCAGAACTGCCAGCCCGTGGATTTCACTTGATAGGGTTTTTCAACTTGTAAATCTTTAGGGAGGAGCAGGTGAATGCGTGAGAGAGTATGGAAAAAGAAGTCCTGGGGATGTTGCTCCCAAGCTCTGCCCAGGGCAAGCTAGCTTCTCCTAAAAGGCCACGGAGCAGAACCTCCTCACCAGGTGCAGACAGTACATCCTCTGTGATGGCCGGGCATCCTGCAGCAGGGGGCATGCTGGTTCTGCTGTCTCAGGGGGTGAGCCTTCGGCCCCCTTTCCTTGGGAGAAGGCTCCTGCTTTACTACCAAACAGTGGGGTCACTAGGAAGGTCCAGTCTGCGCCCTCAGACACTGTCAGAGGGGGTGATGCTACCATGACCCCAGGGCCCGCTTCCACCTGCAGCAGGAAGCGGGCAACAAGGCAGTGGTGTCTCTAGGGTTGGTGCCACCCCCTCCTCCCATCACCAGTCAGTCGAGGTGCTAGGCTGAGAGAAGCGTCCGCACCTGGGCCACTGGGAGAAAGAAGGGAGCAGTCCTAGGAAACCGGGCTGGAAGGGGCCCTCAACCCACTGGAAGGGGGATCCCGGTTGGTCCTCCAGGGACGGTCACTGCGTCGTGTGACACCAACCCTAGCGATGTCACGGCCACCAAGTGCACGGGCAGGGCTTGCTCTCTGTGCCCTCTTATCCTCCCATCTGTCACAGAGCTCGGCCTAACTCTGGGGAGCCTTGGGCATGGGGCTGGGGGGTGGAGCTGGAAGGCGGGGTGAGGGCGGTGGCTGGGTTCCCTAGGTCTGGGTTTGCACCAACTCAGAGGGGCGTACCCACTCTCTTACAGGCCAGACAGGTCGGGGATGGGAGTCCGAAGGGCGTCGGTGGTCTCAAAGTGTGGTGAGGGAAAGGTTTATCAAGCAGCGGCCCGGTCACCACTGTGGGGGTGTGTAGGCCACCACTCACTGCCATTGAGTCGATTGTGACTCATAGGGACCCTACCCGATGCTGGAAATCTTTATGGGAGGAGACAGCGTCAGCTTTTCTATGTGTTAACGGAAACCATAAAAGGCTCCAGCCATTGTGTTGTACAGCAAGGTCTCCTCCGGGAAGCCACCCTGGGTGCTTGCATCTTTTCAGCTCCTCAATTTTAATCCCCTTGAACTTCATCGGCTCTTGGGTCGAAAATCCCATTTTGTTGGAGTCGCGCATGACCAATTCTGACAAGGATACAGGCAAACACATGTGGAAATATTTTAAAGCCCTCTTTATTTATAAGACTAGACACACACTGAGTTATAGGAACTCTCTTCAGGAGTGTAAATGCAAGCATCATTCAGAAGAGAGATAATCTGACAGTAAACAAAAATACCCATAAATCACCCATTCCTAGTAGTGGGCTTGCTTCTCGGCTGTTTGAAAGGTTGTTCCAACTTAGGATCATTCAGAACAAAGACAGAGCAAAATATAGAGCAGACCACTGCTTTGCCCCCTCAGAGATGACATTCTTCGTGGGGAAATTGAGATTTCTGGACACACATCACTCTGAAAGGTCTGAGAGGAAATCCAAACCATTGTTGACCCAAGATCAGGCATTGTCCCGGGATCCACCGTCAAGGATCCGAGGGACTCTGCCGAATGGGAGCCACTGCAGAACAGAAAGCAAAAGGTAGGTTTCTGCAGCCTTTTCTTTGGTCCTCATGTCACTCAGACCACATGGGGATGAATGACAGTGTTGAGGGTTTCTTTCAGGAAACCGTGAGAAACCCAGGCTAATTTGCTTTCCAAATAGCGACTTGACTTGTTATGGCAAGAGGGTGTGTTTGTTTTTTTTTGAGGGGTGTCTTTATACCTTTGCATTAAAAATAAACATGAGTGGAAGTAGTTATTTTTAATTTTTTTAATTTTTTAATTTTTTATTTTTGGAAGTAGTTATTATCTACTTACTTTCCACTTTCCCCCTCTCCTAGCGCCTACAAAAATGTCGCCCAACCAACCCCCAGAGTAGGATGAAACAGCGGTCATGTCATGAGAACTGCAGAAACTTGAGGACCAAAAGAACTCTTGCATCTGAATGGACACCGAGCAGGGCATGCAGCTGCCACTGCAGAGCACAGAGGAGGAAGATGCAGACAGCGCGCGGACTCCAGCACCAAATCCAGAGTCCCTGGGGGAAGGAGCTTCAGCAGTGACATTCTATCCTCAGTATTCGATTCTGCTCCAGTAGAACATGGTACCCAGGAGAACCCAAAACTAGAATAAAAGTGAAAGGAGGAATGAATAAATAAATACACGTGCTTTAGAAAGAGCTCACACTTGGGGGTGGGGGGATGCTGTTAGGTTCATCTTCGGCAACAGTAGATTTTGAGAGCGACCTTGCCTTAAGGAAACAACAGGCGGACAGGATCATTTCCCTCTTCCTTCCCCAAGGCATCACTTCTAGGTGTTCCCATGAGAACGGATTAAGTGATCATAAAGGAAGTGAGAAGAAGTTGTTTTTCTGTCTCTCCACCTTTCCTAGTATTTCTCAAAATGTGGTGGACAGACACCTGGGAGGGGAGGGGTTTTCTGGGCTTCCTTTTAAAAAAAACCATTTTATTGGGGCCCCATACAACTCATCACAATC